CAAGGTGCCGAACGCATGGAGAAGGAACAGTTGCTACCTTTTTTTAGTGACTTTGGTCAGTCGCGGTCTAAATTCAAACTCATGACCTTCTAAACACGGAGCGAGATCAGTGCTCTACCGACTCAGCTACTGTGAAGGTGATGGAAATACAGATAGTGTATACAAGCTTTTTTTCGCCCAATGTTATTTCGCCTTTTTTCACACTTGCAATACTGTAAACCAGCTTTCATTCGCGTGCGAGAAATATTCGAGAGTTTCCGACCTATTCGCGAATATCTATCGCCGTGAACCATTTATTTTTGCTTCATATTGGTATAAAATGGTCCTCAGTCTCGAAAATTAATCGTCGCGAATGGATTTCAAACTGACGAATCGCGAATAAAAGATGACGCGACTAATAGTTGGTTTACAGTATATTTTTTTCTCTTAAACATTTTAAATTAACAATTGAAATGTTTTGATGTAAAATGAACTAATTCATTGAATTCATTTTTGTTGGCATTTTTTTTCCAGAAAAAAGGAAAGATACTAACCTGGTCACCGCAAAACAGATTGAAGTAGACGATAGACTCAAACCGCCAGAGAGAGAGCAGACGTCATCCTCCCGGGTATATATATGGACACTTATTACTAATACAACCGCTATAAACCTTCATAATTGACACTTTCCTTCCTACTGTGGACAGAAAAGGGGATATTTATGTGTGATACTAATTACAACTACTGCCCTAGCTGTAGAAAATTGAATAAAAAAAGTGGTAATTGATTTTCAACATCAAAAATCAAAAACTTCATTCAACACATTGACAAAAAATGATATAACACATGTTTGAATATAGCTGCAGTTCAATAGCTCTCCGAAAAAATATATTGATAGACCGGAGAGCTACAGAGCCACCCATTGAAAAAACTGTATATTTATTGCGCACAAAAAAGTGCGCTCGGATCTCGATTTATTTCTCCATGTTTTTAAAACTGTGATCTCAAAATATTACTAACCGTATGTTCCTAACATATTCTTTCGCTGTTTCCACAACCAAACATTCCTCATAATTGTTGTTAATAGTCCTCCTGACCCTGATATTGTAATCATAGAACATCTCGCTTATATATATATTGCCATTTTGGTTTCAAAGACAATTCGGTCCAGTATGCTTCGTTCAGATGTCAATTATGAGAGTGCTTGATAGAGGAGAAAGAAATTTTTTTAATCGTCCTGTTTTTGCAATTGAGGTAAGAATTTGGAGGAAGTAATCAAGAACCGAGCGCACTTTTTGGTGCGCAATAAATATACAGTTTTTTCAATGGATGGCACTGTAGCTCTCTGGTCTATCAATATATTTTTTCGGAGAGCTACAGATCTGCAGGTAGTTTGAATAATGTTAGAAAACTTATCTCAAATTTCATAATTATTCAGCTTTTCCGTAGTGTAACCTGACAGTTACTAAGAATTCACATCTAAACAAAGTCTGATTTAAACCAGCCCCCTTCTCCTTTCACTCGTCAGGCTGACGAGTGAAAGGAGAAGGGGGCTGGTTTCAATCATACTGCATCTAAACACTAAATGTATATTAATGTTTGGCGTAGGAGCATTCCAATAGCAGTATGAGTTTATAGCTTTTAATCAGCATTTCCATTTTTAACTGCTATACATGAAACATATGGAGATAACGAACAGTACTCAAGATGAAAAGTCCATAAAACAATACAAATTAGGAACAGAGCAAATACGGACCTCCGAAACATCAGAGGTGGGATCAGGTGCCATGGAGGAGTGAGCATCCCCTGCCCCAGCCGTGTGCTGCTTATCATGATCGGAAAATAACGTTAAAATCCGTCGTCAATTTAGTGTATAAATAATGGACTAACAATTAGTATGTAAAACGAACTACTGGCAAACAAGTTGGTGAAATAAGTATATTTCGCAAGTTCTATGGTCAATACAATGACTTTAACAACAACTACAATTTATCATTAAGTCGAATGCTGACTGCTTTCGTAGTAGTTGTCAGTCATGTCTATACACTTGGTGTACGGATTTTGTTTTCATTTGCCCGATTATGACTAGGAGCCCACAGCGGATGTGGCCAGTCGACAGGAGGCTTACACCTCCATGGCACCTGAACCCATCCCTGATGATTTAAGAAATTTGTGTTTGCTTTGCTCCCGATTTATATTTTTTAGGTCACCTGAGTCACTCAGGTGACCTATTGCTATCTGTTTTTGTGTGTCCGTCGTCAAGGTTAAAAGAAATGTCAATCGGTCGTAAACTTTTGGACATTTTCAGCTTCTTCTCTGCAACCACTGAACCAATTTCAACCAAATTTGGCACAAAGCATCTATGGGTGAAGGGGAACAAAAATTGTGAATTTCATGGTTCCTGCCCCCCTGGGAAATAGGGGTGGGGCCAAAACCACTAAAATTAATATATCTTTAAAAATTTTCTTCTTTATCCTGGACATCAAGCATAAAATATTTGCATGATTGTAATAGCATTGAGTCCTTTACCAAAATTGTGAAATTCATGGCCCTGGGGTCAGGGGTAGTGCTAGGGCGGGGCTAAAAAAGTATATAGTTAAAATGCATTATTTCTTTAAAAATCTTCTTCTCTGCTCCTGGGTATTAAATAAACTAACTAAGTACATAGTTATGATGAGCAAGAGTGCCTCTACCAAAATTGTGAATTTTATGGCCCCAGGGTCAGGGGTTCTGGGGTAAGGGCTGGGCTCTATTGATTATATAGTGAAAATATATGAATTCTTTGAAAATCTTCTTCTCTGCTCCTGGGTATTAAATAAACTAACTAAGTACATAGTTATGATGAGCAAGAGTGCCTCTACCAAAATTGTGAATTTTATGGCCCCAGGGTCAGGGATTCTGGTGTTGGGGGAGTGTATTGATTATGCATGTATAGTGAAAAAACATTAAATCTTTGAATATTTTCTTCTTTGCTCCTGGACTTTAAGCAGATGAAATACCTATATAGTTATGAGCAAGGGACAAAATCTTCAAGAATTGTAAATTTCAAGACCCCAGGGTCAGTTGTACCATAGAGGGGGGGGGGGCTGTACTTATATACTAAAAATGAATGAATTGTTTGAAATGTGCTCCTTGGTATTTATCAAATATTTTTGAAAAGCAAGGATGCCTTTCCAAAAATTGTGCAATGTGTGGATCTAGGCCTAAGAGTAAAGGGTTCATGTGTGGTAGCGGCACAACTGCATGATTATTGCTGAATATTACTGATTTGTTGAAATGTATTTGTTCCCCTACCATGCCTATGGGTATTAAGCAACCAAACTAAGGAACTGCTAAGTGTATAGTTATGATGACCAAATTGTAAATGCTATAGCATCTGGCTTAAAACATGGATCAAATTCAATCACTGGAAAGTTGTTGAATAATGCTCAGGTGACCTATAAGGCCCATGGGCCTCTTGTTTTAACTCGGCTTAAGACAAATTTAAAGAATGTGATTCAAGGTCAAAAGAAATGTCAAGGTGAGAAAACACTCTTCATTATGAATAAGCATATATAGTTTGATAAAGATATCTTGAATAATTTATTTTCAACTGAGAAGGTTAGAAGAAAGACGGAATTGACAGATATGAACCTGAAATATTCAAAACAAAAACGCGAGTCGTGTGTTTTTAATTTCTTTTATTGCAACAACTGCAACATAAAAATTCCCAAACTAACAATCAAAGAAAACATGGTTGACAGAATGGGAGAGAATGAGGGGAAAAGTTATGAAAATGTAGAAATATGGAAATGATATTTTATCAGGTAACTGTATTGTTTATACATATATCAAGATTCATAAAATGCAGTCATTTATTTCTTCATGAAATATACACAATTACAGTATATACAATTTTTTAAGAATGATTTTCCTCTGTATTCTTGTACAAAATATTGATTAATTTTAATAAAGTGATTGAATTCGAAGATTTAATTGTCTAGGCATCGCATCCAAACCTTTGGGATTTCCAGAGGTCTGTGTTTTATGCTGTCTTCCCAGATTCTTCATCTTCACCTTTTATGCCCCCATTTTATAAAATATAGTTTTACCTGTGACTAGTTGTCTATCTGTCTGTCCGCAAATAATATAACCTTGCCCATACGTTCTAATTATTGTCTTTTAGTTCGCAAGTGTATTCCTTGTAACAAGACTTTTCTTAGTGAACCAATATATTTCATATCTTAACCTTGGAGTTTGACCCAAATTTCCAATTTCCCCCTAAAATTTAGCCTTGGCTTTTTTTTTTTGAACAGTAGGTATTAAGGCTTTCATACTCAGCATGTGTATTTCTTGTCCCAAGAACTTCCTTTCAATACCAACAATTTTCCCCTTGACCTTGGTATTTGACCTACTTTTGAAAAACTTAAGCCTTGGTCATAATTTTTTCAACAGTTGGTTCCAGAGCATTTATATATTTCACATGTATATTTCTTGTAACAAGGTTTTCCCATGGGAACCATTATCTCTGACATTGACCTTGGAGTATGTTGCATTAAAAAAAAACTTTGCTTATAACTTTGGAAGGGTTTATGGTTGGGCTTTCATATTTGACAGGATTTTATTGAAACAAGTCTTCTCTTTGGTTTTTTTTTATCTTTTCACCTTAAGCTTGTTGTTTAACTTGCATTTGAAAAACTTTAACCTTCTTCAAAAGCTGTCAAAAGGGGGGAGGGGGTTAACAAACATAATTTATATCTTGTTCATCTTGTCCTTGTGGCGCAAGTACGGACGGCGATCGAAGGGGAGAGAGAAGGTCGGAGGGAATTGGGATAAGTTTCAAGTTCTGTTCAATAATCAGGGGTTATTAAGGGGAGAATATATGCTTATCAAATGAAAATGTAGGCCATTTCCCCTTGAATATAGTTCCCCTGGAACTACTCTTCATGTTAATATTAAGGGGTTTGTTCCTTGAATTAACAAATAATCCAAGTAAATATCATTTCTTTTCCATAAAAGTAAATGTCAGTGTCAGTGAGTATCCATAAAGTAAATATTTACTTAGATAGTTTCGACGTAAGTGTGGTGCTCTTTGACTTTGATCTTTCAAAACTGAAAGATTTGCAGGTGATCACTTCCAACAGAACGCTTCTGAAACGCCGTGACGTCATCACGTACAGGAAAAAATTCAACGCATAATTCAATTGTTCCAACAACTGGGAAATTTCTTTGAAGAGGTTAAAGCCATCGTTGTTACTGGCAAATGCGCTGATCTTGAGTTCGTATGCGGCATTATGGAGAATCGTGATTGGTAGCACCAGTATGATGTAGGCAAGAACAATACCAATCAACATGGCTGTAACGCGACCATCATCTTTACTATTGTTTACAGCTGATCCAGTCATCTTTTTCCTTGTCTGGTTGTGGTGGATCAGTTTCCCGATAATGAGTGGCGTCAGGGTGATTAGTATTATCATAGGAGCAACAGAATACAAGACTGTTCCCGCCCTTAACATGGCACCAAACCTCTCTCTAGCAACAGGATCCTCCAGGTCGTACGCGTCGGGTTGACATTTTCCCTTCACCACGTCTGTTGCGTAGCTGAACGCACCAGTGAAAGCAAAAGTGACAAAATAAACAGCCAAAATCCCAGCAAGCACTGTACGTTTTGACATATAAAACTTTGCTTTCAACGGAAACCACACAGCAATAAAACGTTCAACGCAAAGACCAACGACAAACCACGATGACGTCACTTTGGAGGCCCTTCGAATGACGAAGTACAGTTTGCAAAGAGAGCTATTTAATGCTCTGACGTCTTGACCAATCACATCCATAACAAATGATTTGTTCAAGGGCTGTATCAAAAGCAGAACACTGTCTGAGACAGCCAGACAGATGAGCAAATATGAGGAAGGGGCGGTGGAGAATTGCTTAGACTTCATTACGACAATAGTCAGAAGATTTCCCGTGATGCCTATGGTAACAGTTGCCGGAAGGAAAACGTAATTGATGTAATCTATCACACTTGGTCCCGATTCCTGTGGCCCGGAAGTGGAAAAAAGTAGGATTGAGGTAAAAGGCGTAGTTTCGTTACCATGGTTACGTTGTGTTACATTTAAGTCAGACATGGCTGAAAATAAGCAAAATATCTACATTTTTTTTTAATTCATATACTTTTTTTTCAGATTAAAAAGTTTTCTTCAAGTTCTTTTGAAGAAAATATATTATATTTTATACATTATTAATATATATATTATAAGTTGATTTAAAACGTATATGTATCTTTTGACTTCTAGTGTATCAACTTTTCACTTCAAAGAACTGTTTTCGAGGTTGGGTACGTGAAATCAATAAAAATTGTCGTCACGTTATAATATATTTCGGAAATAGCAGCTACACGTTACAACAGAACGCACCGGAAACGACAACAAAGACATTTTATTCCTAGTAGTAATTATGTGCTTGATTAACACTAATTTTGTCCATGAATGGGCATAACATCATGTGAATTGTGATTCACTAATTAATTTCATCTCTCTTTTTTGTTGCCCTCACAGGAAATTAACAAAGGTCTTATATCAATCCACGAACAGATCAGAATTGGAGTTTTTCGTGCAAGAACGGTTATATTAAAAACATTCAATAAACATGATTAAAGTGTGCTAAAGTCTGTGGGATTTTTTTTAAAGAAAATGTGATCAACTTTTTTATAGTAGCAAAATGATACGTATTTTGTTATGTCTAGAGTGATTTTTTGTGTGTTTTGATTATTGGTTTGGGCATAGGCAGGATGTATGAAGCGGAGTAAACCTTTAACCTTTTTGTTTAACTCACAGGTACTTGTGGACAGGATAAGGTCCGAGAGAGTTTTGGCCTGGCGCTATTATCTCTCTCGGGTGTTATCATAATAGGTAATACATTCTCTATGCACCTCCGTTGCGATTACTAAAGGAAATTTCAATGTTCTGACTGGAATGCTGTTTAAGGAGATTTTGTGGGATTTTTCCCTATTGTACACATGATGAAATATAATTTGTGAAAAAAGTAATAACAATAAGCCTTCGGGTTGAATATCGGGGTGGGGGTCCTGTCCAGAAGTACTTGCGGTTTAACTATAGACAACTCTTAAAGATTTCACCAAGTCGGAGTGTTCTATAATTTCCAAGCATTAGCAGTAAACTTATAGTCAACTCGTTGAAAAGCAGTCAATTGACGGTCAACTGTCCATTCTATACAAAACAGAGGACAGCTTTTAAGAAAAGCATTCAACTTTAAGTGGTCAACTGTTATCCTGTATTCAGTTGGAGACTGGTTGACAGCTAGTTGACGGTCAACTAGACATTTTCGTTTAGGTCATTTTCTGGCCAGCTTAAAGGCTTCTCAAAAATCTGGCATTAGATCGAATAGTCAGTTTAATAAAAAGGTTATATTTGAAAGTAACATCATATAAATATTAACATCATGCTACAGGACCCATTCGTATTAAAAGTTATTGCTAAGTTGATCTAATTTTTACACTGGATATACGCTAATTTATTTTTTATATCTTCTGCTTATCTTCTGCTTAAGGGCAAAATAAATGGGTTGAAACTTAAAAAAATGACAATAGGAAAAGAAGCAATGACCTAGCTTAACTATATTAAGTTTTACATTGAAACAAGTTTATTCATTTTTAGGTCTTTTAGATCTTCTGCTTAAAGGCAAAATAATAAGGTTGAAACTTTAAAAAATATAGAGAAAAAAAAGCATTGACCTAGCTTTACCATACACCTCTTAGATTTCAAATTAATATGGGCATTTACTACGCATAAAAAAGCTTTATAATTTCTAGAAATTATAGTTTATACCATCTGGATGCAATGTTTTGCAATATACGAATTTCTTACCTTGGTTGTAGCCCTTTTACTTTGTAAATTATAAATCTGAAAATCATAGCAGTCTTTTTTAAGTCATCTTGAGTTATTTAATTAAAATTAAAATTACATTGCAAAATTTCAATGGAAAGTAAAAGTTATCATTTGGAGGCCATTTCGTACAATTTATGAATATTTGACTGAAAAATTTTGACCCCATTAATAGAAATCTTCTTCGATATTAAATATTTTTTTCAGTTCAAAAGCTCTCTGCAAAACGGGGAACATAACATAAATACTTTAGGCTGAGATAAAGTACCTTGTAATTGTACGACAAAATTTACAATAGAATATTTTTAGGAGGTTTTTAATCATTTTACAGAAATGAAAATTTCATATTTAAAACAAACTGAGCTGAACTTTTCTAGATTTGTCTCTTTTGAATTTGTATTCCAGAAAATCACAGATTAAAGAAATTGATACTTCAGGATTTCATAAAGATTTTGAATATAATTTTACTAGGAATATAGAGCCAAGGACAAAAAAAGTTGATAATGCTTACCTTCTTCCCAGGTGATCTTCAAAACAGACTGGTACGGACAGCGCCTCCGTATCAGTTATTTATAGGATCATTAATTTATTTAACCGATTATTTCATCACATGTCTTCTACAGTCGCTGTTAACTTTATGAAGACGTACGATTTTCAATATTATAGATACATTTGATTAACCAATAATTCTTTTTCTCCATTATTGGGGATATAATCATAAAAAAAAAGCTGTGGACAGATGACGAGGTCTCTTTGGAAGGATGCTGTTTTAACGGGAAATGCACACAGTTTCAGTTTTATTTTCCCATTTTTTTAATGTTTACTAATATTTAACTCAGGTGTTTCTAATGATCATCAAAAATTTGAATTTCAGTTGTCGAGGTACAAGACAGATTTAGAACTCCAAACCTTTGTTATGTAAACAGGGCCCATGCCTTGCTTTTTTTTTTTTTTACATAGGCTAAATATACATGTACTAATAAATGTCCAATCAAATCAGATTTTTTCAATTAAGAAGTTAATTTTAAATACAATTAGACAGTTTCTAGTGATTTGCTATCTCGTTTTGTTATAAATATGATATTTTCTATGTGTAAACAAAAACAAGGCACGAGCCTTGTTTACATTATGAAGAATTTTAAGTTCTGTATCTCCTTTGTAAATCAACAAATGATGTTGAAATTTTTGTTGATCATTATGTCTTTGTTAGGAATTATAAACATTAAAATTGGTTTTTTTAAAAAAAAAAAATCTGTTGAAACAGTGTCCATGTCCGTTTAAGCTAGTCTACCAATAGATATTTCAAATACTTGATAAAAAAGGAGTGTTACTCAAGTCTAGAAGAAAGATTAGTGCTAAAGCATTTAGAAAAGCTGTTTGGCGCTTATAGTTCAAATGGACCAGTTATAATTCTCAGTGACATCAATGCTCATCTATCAGATAAATATGGATGCAAAAATCGCGTCAAATCCAACGAACGCGGGCGGATCATCGAGGATTTTATGAATGAACGTAGACTCGAGTCTGTGACAAGCCCAAGCAAATCAACTGGTCCAACTTGCTCCTATATTGCTCACAATGGAGAGCAAACGTCTTTAATAAACCATGTGCTTGTTGCACAGGATAAACTCGACTTTGTAAGGATCGCAGGAATAAATCAGTGAGAACCGCTATCTCAATTGCTCCGACCATCTCCCGATTTTTGTTAACATCTCTTTCGAAGGTAAATTACCCGGAAGAACGAAAACGTGTGTTGAAAATTTTGGTATCAACTGGAGCTTACTTCTACAACGAGTTCCTCATCAATAGAGAAACACCATCAAAACTCAGCTGGAATCAGTACATCAGCAATCTTATAAATGAGGCCAAAATAAAAAATACATGTACCTTTGTTTCCTAAATCTCTCAATTACCTATGAGACGGAAGAAGTATTGTACAAATTATGCAAAAGAAGTACACAGGATAATTAAATCGCGCCGATTGTTAACTGTGAAAAGATTTTTTGAATAAGATGATTCAAATATTTTTTTTATTGTTAACAAAGTTTTTTAAAATACAATTTCATCAAAATCAGTTTTTTATTAGAACGGCCGACATTGTTCTACTGTGATGTTTTTTTTTCAACCATTTGTTGGAAACAAATATCAGTTACTTGTTCATGTGTTTTTTTAATAGAAAATATATACTCCATAATTTTAGTGACACAAGTGTGTGATAATACAAAAGAGAATTCGTTAAATGTCATAAGTACTGAAGAATTTAAAATCAAAGACAGTTCAAGATCTAAATGTCATAAGTACTGAAGAATTTAAAATCAAAGACAGTTCAAGGTCGTTAAAGATCAATATCAGGTATGCTCATCACAGATATCAATGATAAAAATTCGATAATAAAATGTGTAAAATAAAAACTTTAACTAATGTAGCCCTGGTCAGCTGTTGCAGAGTCTGGGGATGCGATTGTCTTCGGCAAATCATGACAATCCATTTTGTTCAATGCTTACTCAAGTGGGCTTAAATCTTGCGATTTTGATGACTATGGCAGAAACAGGTTGCTGTTGCTTTGCAAAGCAATTGTTATAGAGCAACAGAAAAAATTGAGAACAAAACAAAATTGTCCTTGTGTTTGACGTCACTGGACGGGGACTATTGAAATTAACATGATACCTCATGTGATTTTAATCTGTTAGTCTACATTTTTTAAAATCTAAATTTACAATTTTTTTCACAAGTAAATGAAAAAAAAAGAAAGAAAATCACGCGTTTCCAACTATCGATGATGCCCTGGCATACTAGAACTAACAAGGCAGTGATTCCTTAAATAAGAGATACCACAGAGTTTGAAACATCTGTTTCATATTTGGATATTATAGAAAAGACATTTATGGTAACCTACAAAAAAGCTTTGTGATAAATCTTTTGTTGACTTACTTATGTAGCAATATACCCTAAGCTTATTATCTGCATATGGCTATTTAAAATGATTTTAATATTCTTAATAAAAAAATACTTTGAAACACCTTTTTGCGTAAACCTGTTTATATATATATGTAGAACAAAAAGAATACATTCATTTTTAGGTATATAATTAAATAATTGATTAATTTGTATGTAATGTCAATTTTAAAAATTTAATATATAAATCGATTTTTTTTCAAATAATTTTTAATCAGTCAATAATTTATTTATTCGGTTATTTTATTTATTTGCTTATTTATTTATTT